CCAGGCATGCCACAGCGGGGCGATGAGTACGTTGGGGAAAACCCCCCAACAACTATCTATCTATGCTAACTAACTAAACTATTTACAAGGAAGAAAACGGGACACTGCCAAGATTGCTGAAGAGCAAGTGAAATTCCAGCTAGCCGTCACCAGCGGTAAGAAGGAACTGAGAGGGCAGAGGGTTGGCGGGCCCCTATATACGGTGCCATGAAGGCACCACTTCAGGGGGCTCCGAAGCCGACCCTACGGACGCTGCTATGGTAAAAAATCTTCCGGATGGCATGCATGTGGCATGCACACACCTGCTTGGAATGGACATGAACAATTACTTGAAGAAGAATTGGTATTCCTGGCTGTAGGTTGGGTCTGGCTTCCCCCAGACTTTGGATCCACGTAATACATGATCCTCAGGGAAGCCGTCTCCTAGAGCTTCCGCATGTCCCGTGGAACTCAGGACAGTGAGAAACATGTAGGTTATCTGTAAGGTGAAAATTTATGTAAAACACGATAACGTTTCTCCTTTATTTGCAGTAGAGGGAAGCCTCATAGTTCCTGTAAGGCCAAATACTGATATTTCTATGGATGTCTACTTATACAGGGAAATTGACAGTTGATATTGATATCAGCAATTTCTGGGTATCATTTATATAAAGATGTGCTCTTTAATACTCTATCAAATTTATCATATTCAGCAACATAGTATCTGCTCACTGTTATCAATGTGTAATGTAGAGTGGATATCAATTACTCTCTGAATTCAGGCATGGGCATGGTCCTCCCCTCCTCTTGCCCTGCCCTCGGTTGCTCTGTGGCATTTAAGCCTTTCCTTAGAGCTGTCAGCAACAGCTGCCTCAGCTCTAGGGCCCAGAGGAGGAAAGGTGTGCTGGGCTCCAGCCTGGGACTCTCTCCCTCCTGCCTTTCCCTGACTATTAAGCCTGGCCCTGGTACTGCTCCCCTTAAGTGCCATGTGGGCAAGAGGAAGAGCGTGGCAGCTGCAGGTACAAGGACCAAACTTGTGGGCATCAGGTGAAGCAGCAAGAAACACAACCATCAGGTCAACCCACAGGAATCTCTTGCCAGACTGTTAAATTCTAGGGCCCCAACCTATTGCAGCCAGCCTGTTGAACCAGCCAGACCAAAGCCCTCGCTCTAGTGGGCATCAGTGACCCAGCAGGAAGGGAGGGAAGGGAAGGGAAGCTGCGAGATCACGTCAGGTTTGGAAATTGGAAACCCTACTCCAGGGAAAGAAAACAAGGGAGGTCAGTGGAATTTGTGGGATACTTGTCACAAAGAAAAGTCCATGGTTTTAACCCCAGCTCAGTGGGGGAGGGATAGCTCAGTGGTTTAAGCATTGGTCTGCTAAACCCAGGGTTGTGAGCTCAGCCCTTAAGAGATCCATTTAGGGACCTGGGAGGAAAAAATCTGTCAGGGACAGTACTTGGTCCTGCTGTGATGGCAGGAGACTGGGCTCAATATCTTCTTATAATAATAATAATATATAGAGATAATAGGAAGGAAAGAAACTCACTCTGGTACACCTAGGAACAAAGAAATCAAGCACATTGAGCTCCATAGCTTTACAGCAAACCAACAAAGCATCAGGAGGCCCTACAGGGATTTGAACTCAGATTGGAGGATTTAGAGGGCTAATCTTTACACCATGGAACCTGCAGCCACTGTCATTTCAGGACTCCTGTGAGACCCTAAGCTGGTGGGTTTGCACTCTGCACTCATTGCTTCCCTTCAGCTGCTTCCTCTCATGGGAACTCTCCTCCCCTAGACATTGAACCCAGCCCTTGTTGCTGCTAACACCAACTGGCAGAAAGGATTATAAATTCCCTGCCTGAGGGGAGGCCAATGCATGTGGTGGGCCATACACATCACAGATTTTAACTCTGTTTGCTTCCTTCCCCATTTCTCTTACTTAGTTTATATGGAAGTACACCTATGGCTGGTGATATGAATTTGTTGGCACAGCATTGTGCAGTGGGCTTCCAAGACACCCTGTAATTCATCAAGGGGTTTGCAGCTGGGCCTTGGGCTGGAGGCAATTTTCTGTCTGCACAGCAGATGGCGGATGCACTGGGACCAGCTCCTGGCTCTTTTTTTTTAACTGGTTCCCTGAGAGGACACACCAGAGATCACTGCAATCTACATAGGGGACAACCACCTGGAAATATTCTCCAGGCCTCAGCTGATTTGGAAAGATAAACATGATATTGTACAACATAAAACTATGGGGCCAGGTCCAATAGAAAACAAAGGGGAGCAGGGAAAGAGAGAGCACAGAAGAGAAGAGATGGGATAGAAAAAAGTCTCTAGAGACGGAGCAGCTGGAGGGAACCAAGGAGTGCAGTAGACAATGGGGGTGGCAGGTTTGTAGAAATTTTGGTGGTGCCCAGAATGCCCAGAGCCTGCCCCCCCCCAACACCCCCTCCACCTAAGACTCTGGGAGGGATTTTGGGTGGGGGGAGGAGGTCTGGGGTGCACACCCTGGGCTGGAACAGGGGATTGGGGTGCAGGAGGGGTGCAGGCACTGGAAGGGAGTTTGGGTGCAGAAGGGGTGCGAGGGATGGTTCTGGGAGGGAGTTTGGGTGGGGGAAGGGGGTCTGGGGTGCAGGCTCTGCAATGGAGTTTTGGTACTGGGTGCAGGATCTGGGCTGGGACAGGGGGTGGGGGTAAAGGAGAGGGTGAGGGGTATAGGCTCTGGGATGGAGTTTGGGTGCAGGGCTGTGCTGGGGGTCCAGACTCTGGGAGGGTGTTTGGGAATGGCAGGGGGTGCAGAGTGAGCAGGTGGAGGCTCTGGGAGGGAGTCGGGGTGCAGGCTCTGGGCTGGGGCACGTGATGGGGGTGTAGAGGGGGTGAGGGGTGTAGGCTCTGGGAGGGAATTTGGGTGCTGGGTGCAGGTTCTGGGCTGGGGATGCAGGAGGGGTGAGGTGCATGCATTCAGTAATTTCATAGGGCAGAGTTTTAAGGCTATTAAGATTTGGGGAATTATTCTTTCTAGCATCTTCCCTTTGTAGATTTCAGAGTTGTTCACACACTCACCCCCACTGAGCTACACTGTTACACCCCAGTATAATACAAAGGTTGGGAGGTCTCCAAGTTCATAAAAAGAAACAGGGACAAAAATAGAAAAAGGAACAAAACGTTTCTAAGATTATAAGGGGTTAGATCTCTGCACCTCTCGGTCTTTGGATTCACCTGGAGTAGGAACTGTAGCTGCAGTTTAGGAACCAGGTAATGGCATAGATGCTCCAGCACTTTGGGCTAGCAGGCTTTTCCAGTACAGGGAGACTAGTGAAGGCTGCATAGCCTGTCGACATTGTGCTTCATTCCCCAGAGGGGATCAGTCCTGGGATCCTGGAAGTCAGTCTCTCTGAGGCTATGTCTACGCTGGCAGAGTTACAGTGCCGCTCAGAGAGTGCTGAAGGGAAACTGCCATTGTGTGTTCACACTGTCAGCTGCCTGCGCAATAGCGTGCTCACACTTGTGGCACTTGCAGCAGTATTCAGAGTGGTACACTCAGTATCCCACTAAGCATCTCTTCCTCTTCTGCCCCTAAGATTTGTGGGAAGTTGGAGGGGGTCACAGGGCATCCCAGATCCTGTCCCAATGCCCCATGATGCATTGCTTCGCATCCCAGCAATCCCTGTGCTTCCATTCACATTTGGCGCCATCTTTCAATGGTTTGTGTACTGCACATTCTGCCTCTTTGGGCAGCAGAAATGGATTCTGCACTGTTGATCAATATGCTGCTCGCTCTTACTAACACATCATGAGTGGAAGTGGAGTTATTCCTTAAACTACAAAGGCAAGAGGAGTTTGACATTGATCTTGCCATGCATAGTAGCTATGACACGAGATTGCTTGTGTTATTCACGAAGGTGCTGACCACAGTAGAAAGCCGCTTTTGGGCTTGGGAAACAACCACTGAGTGGTGGGATCAATCGTCATACACATCTTGGATGATGAGCAGTGGCTGCAGAGCTTTCGGATGAGGGAAGACACATTCATGGGACTCTGTGATGAGCTCGTCCCAACCCTGCAGCGCAAGCACACGAAAATGAGAGCTGCCCTGTTATTGGAGAAGTGCGTGGCAATTGCACTGTGGAAGCTGGCTGCTGGCTACTCCAGACTGCTACCAATCGGTCGCTAATCAGTTTGAGGTGGGAAAGTCAACCGTTGGACATGTGTGCAGGGCCATTAATTGCATCCTGCTCAGAAAGACTGTGACTCTGGGCAACGTGTGCGACATTGTGGATGGCTTTGCACAAATGGGCTTCCCTAACTGCAGTGGGCGATAGATGGCACACATATTCCAGTTCTGGAACCAGACCACCTAGTCACGGCGTACATTAATCAGAAGGATACTTCTCTATGGTTCTCCGGGCACGTGTGGATCACTGTGGGCATTTCATGGACATTAATGCAGGCTGGCCTGGTAAGGTGCATCTTTCAGAACACTGGCCTGTTCAAGAAGCTGGAAGCAGAGACTTTCTTTCTGGATCAGAAGATCACTGTAGGAGAAGTCAAAATGCCCATTGTAACCCTGAGAGACCCTGCCTACCCCTTAGTGCCGTGACTTATGAAGCCATACATGGGGCACCTTGACAATAGCAGGGAGCAGTTCAACAACGGGCTGAGCAAGTGCAGAATGACTGCTGAGTGTGCTTTTGGCCATTTATTTGTGAAGGGAAGGGTGAAAGCTTCATTCAGGGCTGGACCACTGAAGCTTAGCACCTGGAGGCTGAATTTGAAAAGCCAGAGACCAGGGCTGTTAAAGGGGCGGAGCGAAGGGCCATAAGGATCAGGGATACCTTGAGGCAGCAATTTGAAGCTGAAAGCCACTAATATTTGTTGCTATGTACAGCAGTGCAGTGCTTGTAATGCTAGGAGGTGATTGTGATTGGTGCAGATGATGCACTATGAAGGCTTAAGAAAATTGCCTGTTGCTTTGCAGGGCTCTGTTTGCTTTCAATTAATGGAAAGAAGATTGCTTTCAAACAAAACAATTCTTTTATTAAAAAGTAACCACCGGAGGAGAAACAAACAAAAACACATCAGAACTGTAGGGGATGGGTAAAAGGTTACACAACTTGTCTCAAGTAATTTTCCTCTTAACAGAAGATTTATTTTAAAATTTATCAAAATAAATTCAATTTTAAATAGAAATAATTACAGCCCGTACTGGGTCTCTATTCTTGTACATGCTATTTCTCTCACATATTCCCCCGTTCTAATTCCTTTGGAGTGAGGTTTTAATTTCAGGATTAGCCACCATTTCGATAGAGTAGGAGGGGGCAGGGAGAGAACTTGAAGAAAACCTGAATCATATTGTAACACTGGAAGTTATCACAGAATCAGCCTCTTACATTCCACTAATTAACTTCATGTTTAATTTCATTGTCACCGATTACTAACTATTGCTTTGAAATGCGGGAACAGTATAACCGTGATGCTGAGGGTTTGTTTAAACTAGAAAAAGTGATGGAGTTTAGGTCAGGTCAAGGGGAAAGCTAATGCAACCACTGCACATGGGCTGCATCTGCACTACAACTATAATTGTCTTTTTACACCAACATCACTAACTTGAGTAGCCAGCGCCATGTACAGTCCTAGTGGATGTAAGGCACAGGTAGTTTTTGCCTCAGTGTAGCTTGTTGGGATCAAAACTCTCGCTCCCACCTGGAGCTGATGAACATTCCTGGCTGGAGGGACACACACTCCTACGACTCAAAAGGAAAGGAGTTGACAGTAAAGATCACAGGACTGACTCCAAAGAAGGTGAGCTGCAAAAGGCAGAAGCAGGCAACTCATCTGGGGGAGCTGAGTGACCACGGTGAAGATGGTGCAAGGATCACTCTGTGGGAGTCAGCAAATGTGATTTTTTTTAAAGAAAAAATCTTTGGCCAGCCCTAGTCAAGGCATTTATTACAGTTCTCTCTCATGTGGATTTTCTGATGTCTAGTAAGGATTGAGCTCTGATTGAAGCTTTTCCCGCACTCAGCGCACGAGTAGGGTTTCTCTCCTGTGTGGATTCTACGATGTGTGATCAGGTCAGAGCTATTATTAAAGCTTTTCCCACACTCAGAGCATATGTAGGGTGTCTCTCCTGTGTGGATTTTCTGATGTGAGATGAGGGCTGAACTATGAATGAAGTGTTTCCCACACTCAGAGCATTCATAAGGTTTCTCACCTGTGTGTATTTTCCTATGTCTGATAAGGTTTGAGCTCTGATTGAAGCTTTTCCCACACTCAGAGCACATGTAAGGTTTCTCTCCAGTGTGGGTTCTCCAATGTCTGATAAGGGTATAGTTCTGACTGAAGCTATTCCCGCACTCAGAACATGTGTAGGGCTTCTCTCCTCTGTGGATTCCCTGATGTCTGAGAAGGTGAGAGCTCCCATTGAAGCTTTTCCCACACTCATGGCATGTGTAGCGTGGCTCTTCCAAGTTGATTCTCTCATGTGTAATAAGGTCTGAGTGGATCCTCAAGTTTTCTTCTGGCATCTGCTGAGTCTCACAGGCTTTTGCTTTTTCTGGGAGTGCACAACTCCTGGAAACATTCCCTTTGGATCTTCCTGATAACGTCCCATGTGGTTCTACTTGCTCAGCATCTTCCTGCTGGGGTTTCTCCTCCTCATTCTCACTCATCATCCCAACACCTGATGGGAGACAGAAAGAATCCAGACATAGGTCACTGCCTGTGCCGGAAAGAAAGGAAATCTCAGAGAGAAGAACGGAAAAAAGGATGAAGAAACCAAAATATATGCGGGAGAAATCAAACCTATCAGGAGCTGATTTTCCCCAAAACCTTCCCCAGAGGAGAGAGGAAGGGATCAGTTTTGGGTCCACATCTCACCAGAACACTCAGGGGAAAGCGAGATCGGGGAGGGACCTGCTGCCAGTTGTCAGTCAGAATACGAGGGAAGCCGTGAGTGACATCTGCCTCATGATTCCACATCTGCAGGGAACAATCCTGAATTTGGAGAGCTCACAAGGTCTTTGTAGGTCATCCCAAATGTTTCCTGTATTCACGGACAGATTTTGAGTTGGTGTAACCAATTCCCTACCTGTGCAGGCAGCTCTCGGGAGCACTTCTTTCTCAGAACTCTGGAGGTCTGGGATCCACAGCTCTTCCCCTTGTTCCAGCTGCAAGATCGCACCAGGTTTGGAAACTGGAAACACTACTCAAGGCAAAGAAAACAAGGGAGGAGGTCCATGGCATTTGTGGGATACTTGTCACAAAGAATATTCCATGGTTTTAACCCCAGCTCATTTTTAAGCAGTAAGATCCCAAGACCAGCTTCCTTGGCTCAAAGTGGCAGGAGAGTTATTAATGTAAATCATATTAATTACCTTAGTGCCTAAGGACCAACTAACACTGGGTCCCCATTGTGGTAGGCAAAGTACAAACAGAGAATAGTAGATGGCCCATGCCCTGAAGAATTTACAATCTAAATAGACAAGACAGACACAGAATGGGGGAAGGGGTAGAACCCACTGTTAGAATAGAGATATTCAGGCCTGTCCGTAAAGCCTATACTTTAAGAACTTAGGTGTATTTTTATCACTTAGCTAGTTACAGGGGTATAAAAACAAAGAATCAAAATCACAGTCTGCCTGTGTATGGGCCTTGTCTCACTAGGATAGTCTGAGGCCTTGTTCTTTGGCTAAGCAGCAGGGGCAGCCACAAGCTGGGAAGCATATGCTCACATCATCACATCCCAAACCAGTCACACTAAAATAAGGGGGTATTGGGCTGTTAGGAAGACGATCCCGTCCTGACAGTGCCCATCACCACCAGATAAAGAAACAGATCTTAAGACCGTTAAAGAAAACTTAGTTTGATAGCATCATGTCTGGCAAGAAATCACTTATCAATGGTTCTGGTTGTGAAACCCTCATTTCTATATTGTTTTATCTTTATGGTCTCCCCCTTTTCTATTGTTAATCTGTCTGGTTCTTTAATTGTTTCTGTCTGCTGTATAATTAATTTTGCTAAGTGTAAGTTAATTAGGGTAGTGGGATATAATTGGTTAGGGAATTATGTCACAATATGTTAGGATTGGTTAGTTAAATTTCAGTATAATGATGGGTTAAGGTATAGCTGAGAATATTACTATATAAACTGGGGTCAAACAGGAGGGGTAAGGGAAATTGGAATCATGTTTGTTAAGGGAACTGGGACACAGGCAAGGCTCTGCGGCATCAGAGCTGGGAAGAGGGTTGCAGGATAAAAGCTCTGCGGTGTCAGAGTTGGGAACGGAACACTGGGGAACAGACTCTATCGGAGTAAAGAGATAAGCCCGACTGGTGTGAAGGGCTTTGGAATATACTTGCTTGGAAACTAACCCCAATAAACATCGCATTATCTCACCAGGTTGTAGCCAGACAGATTTCTTGGATCGGCACATGCGCCAGGAAGGCTGCTGATGATTCCTGCGCCCTAGTGGAATGACCCATCATGCTAGTCGGCAGGGGCATCTTCACCAGTTCATAAGAGTAGTGGATGCAGGCCGTGATCCAAGATGAGATTCTCCGGGCAGACACTGGGCAACCCTTCATCTGCGACAGAAATGAACAACTGCATTGACGTTCAGAACATCTTCATTCTATCCATGTACAAGGCCAGCGCCCGTCTGACGTCCAGGATATGCAGCCTGCATTCCTCATCCATTCCATGAGGCTTTGGACAAAAGACCAGTAAATATATGTCTTGACCAGTATGAAACTGGGAGACGAGCTTGGGCAGAAAAGCCAGGTGCAGATGCAGATGGATCTTGTCCTTATAGAAGACCGTATAAGGCGGCTCTGATGTGAGTGCCCTGATGTTGGACACCCTATGAGCCAAAGTTATAGCAACCAAGAAGGAGATCTTCCAGGAGAGAAGCAGGAGGGAGCAAGAAGCAAAGGGTTCAAAGCTGGGACCCATGAGCCTTGACAGCAGAAGAGTCACATCCCGAGGGGAGCAAGGTCCCAGACATGAGGGTAGAGGTGCTCCAGACCTTTCAAGAACCGCACGCCATCATGGAATGGGTGAAGACTTTTTTTTTTAAGGGTTGGAAGAGACTTCAGGAGGTAATTTAGTCCAAACACCAACTAAATCATCCCAGCCAATGCTGTGTCAAGCTAGGCCTTAAAAACCTCTACGGATGGCGATTCCACCACTTCCCTAGGTAACCCATTCCAGTGCTTCATCATCTTCGTAGTGAAATAGTGTTTCCTAATATCCAACCTAGACCTCCCTCACTGCAACTCGAGACCATTGCTTCTTGTTCAGTCATCTGCCACCACTGAGAACAGCCGAGCTCCATCCTCTTTGGAACCCCCCTTCAGGTAGTTGAAGGCTGCTACCAAACCCCTCTCACTCTTCTCTTCTGCAGACTGAACAATCCCAGTTCCCTCAGCCTCTCCTCGTAAGTCATGTGTCTCAGCACCCTAATAATTTTCGTTGCCCTCTGCTGGACTCTCTCCAATTTGTCCACATCCTTTCTGTAGTGGGGGGCCCAAAACTGGACACAATGCTCCAGATATGGCCTCATCAGTGCCGAATAGAGGGGAATCAATACTTCCCTTGATCTGCTGGCAATGCTCCTACTAATGCAGCCCAATATGCCGTTAACCTTCTTGGCAACAAGGGCACACTGCTGACTCATATCCAGCTTCTCATCCACTGTAATCCCCAGGTCCTGCCTTGAAACGGAGGATGGAATGACAAAATGGCCGCCGGGTGTACCCTGAAGAAAGATAGTGACAGGCCCTGGAGCTTAAGCTGAAACAAAAGTCCAGGATGTGCTGCAGCAGGGCCTCTTCAGTGCAAATGTGTCAATCAGAGGCCCAACACGTGAACTACTTCCACTTTGCAATAGAGGTAGTGTACAAGGGTTTGCCAGGGCTCAACCCTCTCCAGGGTGGCAGGGAGCCACACCGGCTCACTAGGCCCCATTGAGCTTGGGGGGGATTCATCTGGCTGTGGGGTCTCCCTCAGCAGCCCTTGCTGTAACTGGAAGCAACACGGTAAACCCGGCCCTGGCTCAGGGCGGGGCAACAACACTGAGTCAGGGCTCAGTCAGGACTGAGCCACAAGTAGAAAAGGATTAAGCCCAGGCCCTAAGTCAGAGCGGGGCAGCAAACGCTGAGCCAGGAGCTCAGGCCCTCAGTCAGGGCTGAGCAGTAACAACAGGTCCCAGCCTCCTCAGGTCAGGGAGAGGGGGGGTCTGCCACCCATAAGTTGGGTGGCAGGGGGGACGCAGGCCCTCCCACTCCACTGCGTCCCAGCCCGGGGCCCTAGCAGCGGCAGAAGACCCGCTGCTGTCAGTGGGGATCCTGGCCGCAACACACCGATATAGGCTCTGGCAGTGCTGCAGCCAGACTGGGGTCGGCTGCCCCCGGGCTACTTCCACACTCCCCCTCAGGGCCTACCTGGGTCCTGGTGTCGGCCTCTGGGGGATCCAGGACCATGGGTTCTTCAGGGCTGGGATTGATCGGCAAGCCTGGCAGCTCCTCCGGAAAGCGGCCGCAGGGCAGGCCCGGCAGCTCCTGGCGGCCGCCTTGGGCCGCAGAGTTTTCCCAGCCACGAGCTAGGCTGGAGACGTCTGGTCTCTCCGGCGGCTGGGCCTTGACTGAGTTCTGAGGGCGAGCCTTTATACTTCCGGGTTGCCGCCTGACCCTCTGAGCTCCCTAGCTCCGCCCACTCCAGCCTCCAGATGGGCTCTTCCCCCTCCGGGGTGGCGGGGAGCCACACTGCCTCGCTACAGGTAGCCATGGTGGAGGGTTTCCTGCTGCCCAGCAGGACCTGCTGGACACCATCGAAGCACTGCCATTCATCCATACTTAGCCACACAGAAGTCAAGTTGTCAGGTGCAGCGTCGCCAGGTTTTCCACCTCCAGATGGAGTGACCATTCATGGTGAGACGAGAAGGTCCTGCTGAGGTGATCTGCCAGGATGTTCTTGGTTCCAGGCAGGTGGGTGGCTACCAGATGAATGGCATGCTGCACACAAAAGTCCCAGAGGCTGAGCGCCTCCCAACAAAGGGCTGAAGACCTGGCACGGCCCTGTCTGTTGATGTAATGCATTGCGGCGGTATTGTCTGTCAGGACCTGCATGTCCAAGACCAGGGTGAGTGGCGGAGATGGGGTCATGAAGGGAACTCCTTGTAGCACTGACTTGGGATCCAGCCACCAGTCCAGGGACGAGAGGATGTGGCTCGGCACCGTGACGACTTGGTCCAGGGCGTGCCTGCTGGGGATATAGACCAAGGCCAGCCATGCTTGCAGAGGCCATAGATGAAGTCGCAGGCACATGCAGGCTGTGGTGAGCAGGTGACTCTTTATGTGGGAGATCAGGTCCAACATGGCCCAAAAATGCACCTCCGGAAAGCAGGCCCTAGCCCGTGAGTCGTTGAGAACCGCTCCAATAAATTCTATGCATTGGACTGGCATCAATGTGGACTTTTCTGTGTTTATTAGCAGGCCCAGGTCATTGCAGGTGGAGCACACCAGATCAGGGCTCCTTTGCACCTGCCCTGGAGACCTGCCCTTGATGAACCAGTCGTCGAGTTACGGGAAGATCTGGACTCCTCAACATGTCAGGTAAGCTGCCACTGGTGTCACACATTTTGTGAACACTCTGGGAGCCGAGGACAGGCCAAAGGGCAGTGCTGTGAACTGGAAGTGGTGCCCGGCTACCATGAAACACAGGAAACGCCTGTGTCCCAGGAATATGTAGACATCAAAGTAAGCATCCTTTAAGTCGAGAGTGGCATACCAGTCTCCCAGATCCAGGGAAGGGATGATGAAGGCCAGAGAGACCATGCGAAACTTCAACTTCTTGAGAGACTTGTTGAGGTCATGCAGGTCCAGGATGGGTCTTAGGTCCCCTTTAGCCTTCTGGATTAGGAAGTAGCAGGAGTAGAATCCTCTTCCTTATATTTCCCAAGGAACTTCCTCCACAGTCGCCAAGTCCAGGAGCTTTTCGACCTCCTGAATGAGGAGTTTCTCATGAGAAGGGTCCCTGAAAAGGGACAGGGAAGTGGGAGGGAGGGGCGGCAAAAATTGCAGGGTATAGCCCCGAGCTATTATGTCCAGGACCCAGCGGTCCAACGTAACTTGTGACCAGGTCGAATGGTACGGAGAGAGGCGGTTGAGGAAAAGGCGGGAAGGATCCAGGTGACTGACTGGGGCGTCGCTTTCGGGCACACCCTCAAAATGAGCACTTTTGGCCCCCTAGATGTTTGGCGGGTTCAGGTTGCACAGGTGAGCAGGAGAAAGAAGGGCATCGACAACTAAAACTAGCATTCCTTCATATTGCAGAGCCCTGATGGGGTTGCTAGAGTCTTGGCGGCCAGGGTGGCCAGATGTGCTTTCTAGCAGACTGTGGCGTGTGCATGCCCAACGAGCGAAGGGTAGCTCTAGTGTCCTTCAACCCGCGCAGCCTGGCGTCCATCTGCTTGGAGAAAAGACCAACCCCGTCGAAGGGGAGGTCTTGAATTGAAGCCTGCATCTCCTGAGAGAAGCCCACCATTTGGAGCTAGGAACTACATAACAACCACTGATGCGACCACCCGAGCCGCCGAGTCTGCCGCATCTCATGCCATCTACAGGGAGCATCTGGCCGCCGCGGTACCCTCTTCCACCAGGGTGCCAAACTCTTGGGCTAGACTTTGTGGGAGGGATTCCTGGAACTTTTTGAGACCGTCCCAGAGGTTAAAGTTATATCTGCCCAACAGGGACTGATGGTTTGCCACCTGAAATTGTAAGCTGGTGGTAGAATAAACTTTTCTCCCAAATTTGTCCTCTTTGTTCTTGGGAGTTGAGGAGGTGTGACCTTGTTTGTCCTTCTTGTTGGTCACAGACACAACCCAGGCCCACCCTTTTGCCTCCATCCCCGGTGCCAATCGACACCACAGGACCTCCCACAGCCCAGACAAAACGGTCGCGGGACCTTTGAGGGCTAGCCCACTGGATGACTTTAGGAAGCATCAAGCGCTACTTTGACACGTGGCCGAGAACTTGGGGCTGGAAGTGAAGGAGATGGCGGAGTAGGAGGGGGAACCCTTTTCAATATCCTCTTGACCTCTACGCCCCCCTGGTCACCCTGCCTGTGCATGAAGGGGTTCTCAAGATAGCGAAGATCCTATGGCATCTTCAACACAGCTTCCTCCTGAGAAGGAACACTTCTCATTATGTTGTTTCATTCAGGCAATCAGGCCTTGCATTTCTTTGTTGCACTGTTTGCATTTTGCACTCATGCCTGCCTTACCCACAGGTAGAGGAACTTCATTAAAATATTCCCAAACTGGGTCTCTTTTATGGCCTGCTGCCATTATAGGTTTTTCCTGCTAGTGAGAAAACGGTATGGTAGATCTCAAATCAATGAAGGCTACAGTCAGAAAGACCTCAAGACTTCTGGAATATGCTGCTTGAATAGTTTCACTTTTGTTTCTACTATCCGTCCCTCCCTTCTCACATTTATCTCCAGACTTCTTCTCTTTGTCCAGATCTATTCCGCCCCCAACAATCTTCTATTCATTGAACTTTTTAAAACTTTGCACTTTTAGAGTGAGGTAAGGGATTGACTCTGTGTACACAAATTTGCAGAGGGACAATAAGGTTGAGGTGTGTTATTTCTCACCTCTATATATTATTTATTTTAAAACATTTTTGCTGTTAACAAGCACGTTATCTCTGGAGACACAAATCCACAGTTTGAGAATTGCAAAACTAACCATCTCTGATGGTATCTTTTAGACTGAGCACTGAGCCCCATTGGGTAGATAGAAAGATTAACCTCAATAATCGAAACAGAAGTCCCTGAAACCCCATAAGATTGGGTCCCTAAATCCATGAACTAATGGAACTCATTTACAAAACTTTTCTTAAACATTACATGAATATATTGTCTCATACTATAGAATTAGAATTTATAATCCCTATTCCATGATGAGATCTCTGAGCTATAAAGGTATCTATCTTTAAATAGTTTTTTCCTAAAAAAGCATTTTATCAAAAAATTCCAATTGTTTGATTTGTATCCAACCTGCAAAGTACTACATTTTAGGGAAGGAAAATCCAATGCACAACTACAAACGGGGGACTAAGTGGCTAGGGGGCAATACTACTCAAAAGATCTGGGGGTTATAAGTATCAGGGGGTAGCCGTGTTAGTCTGTATCTACAAAAACAACAAGGAGTCTGGTGGCACCTTAAAGACTAACAGATTTATTTGGGCATAAGCTTTCATGAGTTAAAACCTCACTTCTTCTATGCATCCGAAGAAGTGAGGTTTTAACTCACGAAAGCTTATGCCCAAATAAATCTGTTAGTCTTTAAGGTGCCACCAGACTCCTTGTTGTTTTGGGGGGTTATAGTGGATCACAAATTGAATCTGAGCCATCCATGTGACTCAGTTGTGACAAAGGTTAGTTCAGTACTGGAATAGGTTACCAAAGGATGTTATGGAATCGCCATCATTGGAGATTTTTAAGGACAGGTTGGACAAACACCTCAGTGTTGGGGGTGGACTAGATGACCTCTCATTGTTCATTCCAGCTCTACAGTTCTACTATTCTATTCTGAGGAAATGTTCGATCATTTTATTACTCCACTGACCCGGCCCACCCCACTAGCACTAAACAACTGTGACATTTTGAAACCCTCCCAGTGACAAAGTCTGGGAACGAAATACGAGACAAGAGCAAAACAAAAGGAGTGACTTGGGAGATTTCCCCTAACATGGTCCCCTGACATGGCAGCACACTCCCACAGCCCAGGCACAGGGAGAGTCAGGAATTGACCTTTCCTCTCCCTGCACCTCACCTTGTTCACTGGAAAGTGAATCTGCACATGGATGCTACAGTAAGTGTGTGGGGGCAGGTTAGAGATCTGGGAATCTCTCCCCCCCAATTATTTCTCCCACTGCCCCTATTAATCTTTCTCTCCCTTTTCTCCTTGTGTTTCCTATCTCCTCTCCCTCCCCCTCTGGCGGACAGACAGCCATTCCTGGGTGTTCGCTCTCCTATGGCTGGATCAGCTCCTGCAATTGCTAAGGGGAGGAGAGCTGTGGGGTGAGGAGGGGCTATTTGTGCACAGTCAGTTTCATGCCCATCCCCAGCACCTTCCCTGAGGGCTCTATCAATCACCTGGAGTATCTGGCTCAGATATTGGTGTGGGCAGAGCCTAGGGCTGGCCCACGGAGCTAATTACAGCTGGAGAAAGTCCTCACCTTGCCTGGGCACAGAGGAAGCTTCACTCCAAGTCACTCCCAAGCCCCCACCCCACCAGGGGAGCAGCAGCTGCTCAGTCTGGGCTCCCAGATCACAATGCAGGCAGCAGCGTCTGACCCAGGAAGCTCAACCCCAATCTCCTGAGAAGAGAGAGAGACACAGTCAGACATTGGCTTTCCCCCGTTAGCAACAACTGAAACACACACAGCCCCTCCCCCTCGCCACAGGGACATATCCTGATTTTATTTGCCCCCATGTTAATCTGGAGTCACTTCATGTTCTTCCTTGAAGTGTCTCTTGAGTAACACTCATCTCAGTGAGACCAGAAACATGGCTCAGGAGGGAAGACGGCCAGAGTCCTTTCCTCCTCCCTCACCCCCTCTGCCCCTTCTTCTGAGAAGGATTCACAGCAACAGTTTTCCCTCCAAAACCTGAAGTTCCTCCAGTTTTGAAAATGGGGAGAGTAGCTCACCTTGCTGTCAGGATTTTGTATCGATAAATGGATAGAGTGTTATCAGCAGCCCCTGCCAGCCATTCACACAGGTGTGGGGAGCCCTGGATGATGCTTCTTTAACAGGAGAATGGATGGCATGGAGGAGCTACATTTTTTAAGAAACTTCCATGCCCGGTGACTGGCAGATAATGGCCAATAGGGACACACTCCAGACACGACTATATCTCAGCACTGGGCGAAGCAACCCCTCATGGAGACCATTTGTCATGGGGGTTTGAGATACTGCTGGTGAACATGGTGAGGGACTAATACAGTAGCATGGAGATTCTCAGCCACTCTGAGTGCAGCCTGGGCAGCAAGGAGCCAGGCACAGACTGAGCCCTCGTCCTGTGCCCCGGAGGAGAAGAAAAGGGTCCAGCTAACTGTCCTGTGAGCAGCTGGGTGACACCGTTCCCCCAAACAGGGAGAGGCCTCTGGCTTTGATGTATATTAAATATGGGGCAAGTCACTTTCATCACCAAACATTTTAATGAAGATAAGGGGGAAAGAAATGAGTCTCAAACGAGAGGGGAAAGTTGACCATTTAACTCCCTGCAACTGCCAGGATGGAGAATGACCAAGGCAACAAATTCTCTCCAAAACACAACTTGCTGCAACTAAACATGGGATTGTCTCCAAACACAAGATGCTTTTTAACAGACATTTGATAATTACATGACAAAATCTGACAGCTGATATCCATGTTAAGTCATTAAAGAGGAAAGGGTGGAAATCTGGAGAATTTGTTATCAATTTTCACAAATTAGAAAGGAAAGTGGAAAAATGTGAGGAATTTCATATTGATAGTTAATAGTAGGTAAAGAGGTAAAATGAGAGTGAATTTCATATTGTTAGGTTTCAGAGTAGCAGCCGTGTTAGTCTGTATCCGCAAAAAGAACGGGGGTACTTGTGGCACCTTAGAGACTAACAAATTTATTAGAGCATAAGCTTTCGTGGACTACAGCCCACTTCTTCGGATGCATATAGAGTTATGTGACACACATGACACCAAGATGAGATCATTAATATACTAACCTATAGGAGAAGGACACCCCAACATTAGTAGGGGAGAAACCCCTACTGAACATGCATTACACCTAGCAGTGTCAGCAGAACATATCGGCTACACAACTAAAGAAAGGGATCTGCACGTAGCTGTAGACAGATCAATGAAAAGCGCCACTCAGTGCACAGCTGCCAGCAAAAAAGTGAACATGTTCAGATTCATAAGGAATGGGATGGGGAATAACACTGAACATTTGTGTATAAATCAAGGGGGCAGCCTCCACTATCCTGGGACCACCATGGCTACAGCACTGCACATAGGATATTTTAGATCCATCTTTGAGAACTGGGGAAGAAATAGGTCTAAAAAAGAAATATTTGATAATGAGAGAAAAGCACCTGGTTCTGAAGGGATTTTATACTAAGTAAGTGAGAGGAGTTGGACAGTTTGACAGGATTGTATATGGAAGTTCCATAAACAGACAGTAATAATTTCCCACACACACACACACCCTTCACATGGGCAGCAGGGAGCCCTTTGGGCAGGTGGTTTAAGAGGGTATGTGAGGGGAGTATGGAGCAGGAAAAGTCCCTGTCAGTGGGGAGGAGGCAGCAGCAGGGGCGGGCAGCTGACTGGCAGCTGCGGAGAGCTGCATTGGGCAGTTGGGGGTAGCAGTAGCCAGGACTGTGTAACCTTGGGCTGGACGGTCTCCAGTGGGGACTTTTTCCTCCTGTCCCCTTCCTTGCCTTATTTCTGGCAGAGAATGGTCACCCCATCCCACCCCAGAGGCAGCTGTGTCTCAGGACTCTGCAAGCTGCACCCATTAAGCCCCTTCTCATTTGGGGAATGATTGAGGACAATTTCCCAAAGAAAGAAAGAAAATTGGCCGCAGGTCAAACGAGTGGGAAAATATCCCAAACCTGAGACTGTTAAATGAACATTGGAGAATTAGAGAGCAAATGGGGCAAAATCTGAAAAGGAGACTAGGGAAAGTGTCAATAATTGCTTCATCAGCACCGACCCTTCATGGAGCAGTTGCTGCTTTTAGCCCTGAGAGGAGACTCCCTGTGTCTGACTCCTGCCCACGGGGCCATGGTCGGAGGTGGTGACCCAGTGAAGCTGAGTTGAGGCTGATGCAAGGTGAGCAAAGCCGAACCAGCCGCCCAGGGTGCGGTGCTGGAAGCCGGGATGGCGGGTGAGCCTGGTCTCCCTACATCAGTGGTTCTCAACCAGGGGGACACGAACACCTGGGGGTGCACAGGGGTCTTCCGGGGGGTCCATCAACTCATCCAGATGTGGCCCTAGTTTTACAACAGGCCACAGAAAAAGCACCAGCGCGGTCAGTACACACTGAACCCCCGCAGCCAGTCATGGCACACGGGGGACTCTGCGCGCCGGGCAGGGACAGGGGCGCGCGGCGCTCACACCCCGGGGGTGCAGCCGGGCCAAAGACCCCGGGGCTGAGGCTCTCCGCGCCCCGCGAGCAGCCCCGGCTCCCCCCGCAGCGCAGCACCCGGGACACGAGAGTTCGCCTGAGAAGCGGGGAGGGGCCGAGGGCTTCGGGCGGGGCCGCTATTCCCGGGGGGGCGGGTCTCAGAGGCGCCGGCTGGGGGCGGGGTCTTTCCGAGGGGAGAGGAGATAAGGAAACGGTCAGCCTGGTCTCGGGGCCCTCCCTTACCTCGGCTGCAGAGGGCGGAGGCCGCCCCCGGGGCAGGCTGGGAGATGTAGTTCCTGAGTCTCCCGGGAGCGGAAGTGACGTTAGGTGGGGGGAGGACGAGCCGGGCTGCGAACGCGGGCGGGGCGCTGCGGCTCTGCCTGGCTCGTGCGGGGCCGTTGGAGCCTCTGCCGGAGCCGGAGAAGACTTTTGTGCCGCTCGAGCGCTTGTCTCTGACCCGCCCACAGAGGCTGGGGCAGGGACAGATGGGACCCCGCCCCGTGTTTCCCGGCTCTGGGCATGCGCAAATCGCGGGGGCGGGGCAGAATCCCACATGCGCAGAGGCTGCATTTCCCAGAGCATCGGGGCACGTGGGTAGCTGCAGCCTCCAGGTACCGGAGCGAGCCCCGGGGGCGGGGCCAGGCGGTGACTCTACCCCCGTGTCCAAGGCGGGGACCCGGCATCTCGCAGCGCCGGGATCTGCTCCCTGGGGGCAGCGCCCGCGGGGGGCTCGGAGCTGCTGTCCCCGCAGGATCCCAACGCCCCCGGGCCCGGCCAGGCTCTGCCCTGGGGCCCCACGGGAGATCCCGGGGGGCGGGGACCAGCCCCCACTGGGGTCCCGGCGTGGGGCTGGACGGGGGCTGCCGGGGGGCGGAGACCTGGGAAAGTGGCGGATGGATACATGTCTGTGCAGCCTGGACGGAGGAGGGGGGGGGGAGGAGAAGAGCAGGTGACCCCCCGAGGAGCGGGGAGAGGAAGGGGGGTTGAGATCCCCTCGGATTTACCGCTGCCCCTTCCCGTGGGGACCCCCCATCCTCTCCAGCCCTGCCCCCTTTCTCTCTAGAGAGCAACGAGCAACATCCAGGGTGACCCTCCCTTTTCCCTCAAATCCCTGAGAAGGTCTCTGTTCCCCTCCCCCGATTGTGCCCCATTTTCTCTCCACTTCGCCAATGCCCAATTCAAATCTCAGGTTTGGGGTGTTTCCCCCCATTTTTACCTACAGTGATTTGTCCTTGTTTAGGTGGGAAATGGTTCCCCTGAGTGATTTCTGAACTGGGAAGAGGGTTAATGGGCAGAGGCTGGGAGAGCCCTGAGTCAGGGATACCACTGGGCTGGGGGGACCACTCTCTGCTGGCAACAGGGCATGGAAAGGCCAGGGAGGGGAGGAGAAAGTGTCCGCCATAGAGAGGGCCCAGCCCCAGGTTTCCCAGTCCCAGCTACTTCCCCCCTCCCCCACCCTGCCCAACCCAGCAGCTTCTGCCCCCCACAGCCTCCCACCGCCTGCTAGTCACATTTCCAGACCCCACAGCCAGTGATCTTCTGACTCCAGCCCCACTCCTTTCCCCTGTGAAAGCGACATCACCCAGGGCTCCCTGCCGGCCATGTGAATGTGAGGCAAGAAGAATCCATCCCATTCTGTTGTTGATTGAATATCAGCTGTATAATCCCCTCTTTTTTTGCCTCTTTTCTCTTGAACTGTGGAATGGTGACATAAAATCTCCCCAGATGTTGGTGCTTCTCTCTTATATTGGCAAATATTTAGTTTGTGACCCATTTTCTCCTCTGTTCTGAACTACTGATATCAAATTCTTGAAAATCTTCCCACTTTTCTCTCCAGGTGTCTGACTGAGATCAGGGTTCTTATCATACCGAGCGTGGCTCAGGTCTTGCCTGAGATCAGGTCCCCCAGTGTGCCGGGCACTGCACAAACCCTGACCAAGTTTGGGGCATTCATTGTGCCAGGAACTGCACAGACCCCTACAGAGAGCAGGGACCTTGTTGTGCTGGGGGCTACAGTGACCCTGACTGAGCTCTGGGCCACTGTTGTGCCAGGCCCTGCATCAACACAAAGTGAAATTCGGCTCCCATTGTGCCAGGCGCTGCAGAGACCCCGAGTGAGATCTGGGCCCTGTTCTGCCCGGCGCTGCAGAGACCCCGAGTGAGATCTGGGCCCTGTTCTGCCCGGCGCTGCAGAGACCCCGAGTGAGATCTGGGCCCTGTTCTGCCCGGCGCTGCAGAGACCCCGAGTGAGATCTGGGCCCTGTTCTGCCAGGCGCTGCAGAGACCCCGAGTGAGATCAGACCCCACTGTTGTGCTGGGTAAAACTGAGAGCTGGACCGAGATCACGGCCCCCCTTGTGCCGGGCAGCGCACGACTGCAGCCCAGATTGCTGCCTCCATTGTGCTGGGCACTTCAGAGACCCCGACTGAGATCCGTGTCCCCGTCAGGCCTGGCCCTGCACTGACCCCAACCAACATCACGCCCCACCACTCTACTGGGCACTGCAGAGACCCTGACGGAGATCCTGCCCCCACATTTTGCCAGATGCTGCAGGGACCCCAAACAAAATCAGGGATCCTGTAATGCCGGGAGTTGCAGAGCCCCCGACTGAGGTCAGGCCCCCTGTTGTGCAGGGCTATGCACAGACACTGACCACAATCAGAGTCCCCATTGTGACTGGTGCTGAACAGACACCAAGGGTATCTCTACCCTGCCATTAAAAACCCACAGCTGGCCCATGGCAGCTGACTCAGGCTCACAGGGCTCAGGCGAAGGGGCTGTTTAATTGCAGTGTAGATGTCTGGGCTCAGCTGGAGCTGGGCTGTAGCACCCTGTGAGGTGGGAGGGTGCCAGATCTTGGGCTGCAGCCCAAGCGGGGTCATCTACACCACAATTAAACAGTCCCACAGCCTGAGCCGTGTGAGCCCAAGTCAGCGGGCACGGGCCAGCCGCCGGTGTCTGACTGCAGTGTAGACATGCCCACAGTGACAGAGTCCTTGCCACCAAAAGCTCAAAGGCTAATTAGGCAAATGGTGGGAGGCTACTCTCCATTTTACAGGTGGGGGAACAAGCTCAGAGAGCTGAAGTAATTTGCTCAAGTTTGCATGGAGAATTTGGGTCAAAACTGGGAACTGAACCCAGATTGTTTGAATTCTTGCCTCTCCCCTTAACCGCAAGCCCAGCATATGTGTGTACAACGTTCTTTTGGTCTGTGTTTGCACTGCATTGGCTTCCAAGGGAGGTTGTGGAAATTCCTTCATTGGAGGCTTTTAAGACCAGATTAGAGGTACACCAGTCTGGGAGTGTCTAGGGATACTTGGTGACAGAGCTAGAAATAGATCCTAGTTCTAGTGCCACCGTACTGCTGTTTTGGGTACTGAAGGTCTCTGCCATGCTGGTGTTTTAGGCACTGGTGTAAACCCTTCATATAGACAGAATTTACACTAGTGCACTCTGATTGGCACTGGTGCACCATGTCCCAGTTTGAAGGCTTGCGGGGGGTGGGGGGCGGAACAGTGACCTCACCGAGGCCTGGGGCTGGCTGATCAGTGCAACTGGTAACGGTGGGGCAGCAGTGAGGTATGAGTCAGGAGCACAGCCCCACAGGACTGGACACTGACTTCTCCTGACCCAGGAGATGCACCCCCAGCTGTGTACAGGGACCGCAGCTGAGCTGCCCTGCCAAGACAGCCTGTGCATCCATGGACAAACCACCTCTTCCTGCAGCCTAATGCAATGGGGTCTGGGGACCTTTCCAAGCTGCGGGTGATGGGGCTCTGGCGTTACCGGGGTCTGTTCTTCTCTCTGTCACTGACCTGCTTGGTGACCTTGGGGAAGTCACAGCCCCTCTGTGTTTTCCTCCTACCCATTGTCTACTTGGATTGTGATCTCTTTGGGGCAAGGACTGTCCCTCTCTCTCTGTGCAGTGCCCAGCACAATGGGGGTGCTGATCTCAGTCAAGTTCTCTGCCATGCACAGCACAATGGGGACCTGATCTCCATCAGTGTCTGTGCAACGCAAAGCACAGTTTATGGACTCACAGACTTTAAGGCCAGAAGGGACCATCATGATCATCAAGTCTGAGCTGCACATTGCAGGCCACAGAACCTCACCCACCCACTCCTGTAACAGACCCCTAACCTCTGGCTGAGTAATGAAGTCGTCAAGTAATGATTTACAGACTTCAAGTTACAAAAAAATTCACCATTTACACTAGTTTAAACCTGCAAATGACCCATGCCATACCCCAGGTTGTAGAGGAATGCAAAAAAAACCCCCCAAAAACAAAACCCAGGGTCTCTGTCAATCTCAGTCTGGGCAAAATTCCTTCCCATCCCAAAAAATGGCAATCAATTGGACCCTGAGCATGTGGGCAAGACCCAGCAGCCAGACACCTGGGAAAGAATTCTCTGTAGTAACTCAGAGCCTTCCCCATCTAGTGTCCAATCACCAGCCTTTCTAGATATTTGCTGCTAGCAGTTGCAGATGGGCTACATGCCATTGTAGGCAGTCCCAGGGCCGGCACCAGCTGAGCAAGCTGGTGCTTGGGGCAGCAGATTGTTCGAGGTGACTTTCTGCCCAATCCTAGGACGACACAGCCGCTTTTTTGTTGTTGTTGTTGTTCCGCTCCGGCTGCCCTGTAGGGGGCGGCGGCACGGAGAACCAGAGTGCCCTGCAGGACAGTCCTCCTCCTTCCCTCCCCACCGACTGGAGCGGAGCCCTCGTGGCAGGAGGCGGCGCAGCGGGAGGGGCCGCGTGGCAGCGTTCCTGCTGTAGCCCTGGCTGCCCCCTTCTCTCTCTCTTCCACCCGCTCCCTCCCCTCCCCCGCCCAGCTGGTCCCCCTGCACCCGCGCTCTGGCCGTGCCGCAGGTTTTTTTTTTTTTTTTGCTTGGGGCAGCCAAAAAGCCAGAGCCGGCCCTGGGCAGTCCCATCCTACCATCCCCTCCATAAAGGCTTCAAGCTCAGTTTTGAAGCCAGTTAGGTTTTTTGCCCCCAATGCTTCCCTTGGGAGGCTGTTCCAAAACTTCAGTCAGATGGTTAGAAACCTTTGCCTAATTTCAAGGCAAAACTTATTGATAATCAATATCCATTTGTTCTAGTGCCAACATTGGTGCTTAACCTAAACAACTACTCTCCTTCCCTGGTATTTATCCTTTGATGTACTTATAGAGAGCAATCATATCTCCCCTCAGCCTTCTTTTGGTTAGGCTAAACAAGCCAAGCTCTTTGAGTCTCCTCTCATAAGGCAGATTTTCCATTCCTCGGATCATTCTAGTAGCTCTTCTCTGCATCTGTTCCACTTTGAATTCATCCTTCTTAAACATGGGAGACCAGAATTGCCCACAGTATTTCAGATGAGGTCTCATCAGTGCCTTGTATAACAGTATTAACCCATCCCTGTGTCTCCTGGAAATACCTCGCCTGATGCATCCTAGGACTGCATTCACGTATTTCACGGCCGCAGCACATTGGCAGCTCATAATTGTCCTGTGATCAACCAATAAACCTAGGTCTTTCTCCTCCTCTGTCACTTCCAACTGCTAAGTCCCCAGCTTATTGCAAACATTCTTGTCGTTAGTCCCTAACGGCATAATTT